GATAATTTCCCCCCTTTTTTTTTCAAATTTTTCACAAGCAAATACAAATAAGTATATTTACTGTAGCAGTTTTTAAAATGTGAAATTTTAATAAATCATAAAAAAATGCATATAAATATCTAAAATTTTATAAAAATTATAAATAAATATCTAAAAAATATTTTTTATATAAATATTTAATTTTTTAAAAAATTCTATATAATTACTTAGATTGTTTGATTTTTTTTTTAAATAAACACAAAATTTAGATATTTTAAAAATAAAAATGGTGGAAGCTATTAATGTATTTTCAGTTTATTTAAAAATTGTTTTAAAAGTCTAGATATTTATATAAGATTTAAAATTTTTTAGATATTTTTATAAAAATTTTATAATTTAGATATTTATCTATGGTTTTTATAAAAGTTTAAATATTTATATACGATTTATTTTATAAAAAATAATAATAAAAAAGGCTGAATCCCAAGTGCGAAAAAAGGGAGAAAAAATCAACTGAACCCATGAATAAATCACTAGAAAACAAATTATCAAATTTTTAGAAACAAAATGTAAAATTTGTTTTTTCTTTTTTAGTAATTTGCTAATATTTTCTTTCTGGTTTGTGATTTGCTCGTCTTTATGAAAACGAAAATGCAGAAGCATGAAAGCCACAAGTCAGCCCCTTGTATATGTTACCATGGTTTTAAAATTGTTTAATATGGGTTTAGTTAATCGATGATGATTATGATCGTTAATTACATCGAATCTCGGATTTTGCGCTCTGTGATTTTAACTGCCACTTTGTATTTAGTTGTTGAATTTATAATTAACAAACGTATCTTACACATTATTTTTATCAATTAAATCGCATGATAAGATTTTTCTGCATTTCTTTTCTTTGTTATACCTCTTATCAGAAGTTGATTATGAAAAAATACATAATTGTAAATTTTTAAAAATATGGGAGAAAAATATAGTTTTCTTAGATTATAATTTATCCCAACACGTAGAGAAAATTGCATATGTATATGTATGTATAGTTGGTGTATGTGCTCTATAATAACCTGATAAATGAGATAAATTTTTGGTATTATTCGTTCATACAATAATTTCATTTCATAATTATTCAAAATACATAGTCTGAATATTGTTTCATAAAAACTGTGAATTGTTTTTTTTTTGTAGAAGTTTCAAAGTTCATATATTTATATGGAAGGTTTTTTCAAAGTCTGTGATTTGTTAGGCGATTTTTCATTTTTTCAATGAATATAATTAATCTTAATGGGTAAAATCACAAGATTAGTTTCTATCAAACATCATTCTCTCTATCTATCTCTCTGTCCAATTCGAAATTCATTAAGATAATCAGATAGCATTGAAACTAAGCTAATTTCATTGGTTTGACTTGATTAAAGCTAAACCAAAGCTAAACCGAATTACGATTTGCTTCGGTTCGGCTCATTTCACTTTGGCTTATCCTTGATTCGGGTTTAGCAAATGGAGTACGTATTAGTATTTAACATTTATATAGAATATATTATGTATTAATATTTAACACAACTCCTTTAATTTTTATAGATAACTAAATATAATTTTAGGTTTTTTAATATATGCTATATTTTTGTAATCTAAAAAACAATTAAAACTAACTAAGTAATTTTTAAAAACAATTAAGTCAATTTTGTAATTTAATAGGTATAAAAAAATAATTTTCTAATTACGTCGACTATCCGACTATAAATTTGCGAAACCCGAATCCGATCCAACCCATTTTTTTTTTAAATTTTCTAAAATTTATGTAATTAAAATTTCAGTTGCCCATGTATTACTATAAATTATCTTCTTTTATTTTATTTTTTATATATATATATCCAAAAATACTGTAACGTTTTAATTATCACTTTAGTGTTTTTTCATTTTCAATGAAGTATGAATAAAAAATGAATATAAAGATCCTATACTTGTTACACGAGGTGAATATTGAATGTACACATTAACAATTCATACGCAAAAAAAAAAACGTGAATGCTAAAAAACGAATATCAAGACCATATACTTTTCATAGCAAATATTGAATCGACGGTCCACATTTCTTGCGCGTTGATAATCAAAGGTAAAAAAACCGAGACACGAGGCGCATAAATCATTTTCGTATCAATATATAACATATATGTTATAAATCATATTGTTTAATATGCATAGTATACATTTATACTTACATATACATAAATAATTCTTTATTTTTTCAATATAATATATATACTGCATTAATCTATATCAATATAAACTATATTATTATTTAAAAATAAAAAATAAAAAATTAATCATAATAAACTAAAGTTGAAATACATCGAAAATGTTATAACTGATATATATTTATAAATGATTTTATAAAAACTATATATTTAAATAATTATAGTTACTATATATGTAAATTTTTGAAGCTTTCTACTTAGTCGTACTTGCTCTTCCGGTGGAGTTTGAAGCCATTTTCCCTCATCATCGGGGCGAAGTGTCTCTCTCCGCCTCTGGATAAACCCTCTGAAAAGCTTTGTTTAGAGGCCGATAATGGCGATTCGTCTACGATCATAAAATTAGGGCATTTTATCCTTTTTGTATGTGTAAACATTCACTCTCTAAAGGACATGAGTTCGTTATCGTTGAATTTCTCGCGCTTGCTGTCTCCATCTCCGCCTTCATCGTCGTCTGCTCTGGTCATTCGCGGACCTAAACTTTGTACTTTTTCTGTGAGTTTCCCGTTGAAGACGAAGACAACGACGGCTACGAGGATTAGCAGCAGTAGAAGTTCGATTCTTCGAGTTAAAGCTTATGATTCTTCTGATAAACAGTCTTCTGATTCATCTGGAGATTCTGCACCTCCAAATGGCACTTTGGTATGTATAATCTTCGTCATCTTCAACTTCGCTTCGTGATTTTTCGGATTATCCGAGAGTTGGGTATACGTCGATTTTGCTTTTTGAGTTTAATGGAATCAATACAGCAAAGCAGCAATGTTGAATATTTACCCATTCGTTTGGAATTTGCATTCTCTTAGCATTGTGATGTGATTAAACACAATCTTCAATGATGTTATCAACTCGAGACTATGAAGAGACTGGTCATTTACTGGTTTTGCTGTTGAACAGCCAAAGACCCGAAGAGATATACTTCTGGAGTATGTTCAGAATGTGCAGCCTGAGTTCATGGAGTTATTCGTGAAGCGGGCACCTAAAAATGTGAGCTTCTGATTCAGTTTTCTTAATGCTGAAGTAACTAGAGGACGAGATTTAGATTGTGTGGTTTTCACTTTGTCTGTAACTTGCCTTAGGTGGTTGATGCAATGCGCCAAACAGTGACGAATATGATGGGGACGCTGCCTCCGCAGTTCTTTGCCGTGACAATCACCACGGTTAGTGCTCTTAAGTTTCCGAGTATGGTAAAGTTGTAGGTGATACATTTTCACTACTTGTCTTATTGGTAATAACGGGTCTTCACATGTATTTTGTATGCTTTAGGTCGCTGAAAATCTTGCCCAGCTGATGTTCAGTGTCATGATGACTGGATATATGTTTAGAAACGCTCAGTATCGTTTGGAATTGCAACAAAGTCTGGAGCAGGTTGCTCTTCCTGAACCACAGCATAAAAAGGTATCCTTTCTTTTCCTCTTCCTGTACATTGAACAGTTTTTCACTATCGTCCACTGCCAAAACCGATCTCCCAAGTGATAATATGAATAGGTATAGAGCCACCAAACTATAGTGTTTCCTACCAGGAATCGAAATTAAAGCTGCAGATGAGCTGGTGGCTTGTTGGGGGTTTATACATTATTATCTGAAAAGCGTTGTTTTCAGAATCGTGTTGTTTAGAACCAAAGAAGGTAGTTACGCTTTGTAGTGTATCAATAAGAGTAATGCCTAGATTGCAGTTTTTGACAGTGAAGTTGTAAAGTTGTAGTGCTTATACACCGCCTCTGAGATTTCCGCTCATTTCTACATGATTCATTGCTTTGCTTCAACCTGTACATGTAAATGAATATCAGAAGCTGCATTTTTTACTAACAGGGACTCCTTCGTCACTCTTCCTCTCTGTCTGGTGTCGGTATTATTGACAGGAGGACGATGAAAATTATGCACCCGGTACTCAGAAGAACGTTTCGGGGGAAGTTATCAAGTGGAATAATGTTTCTGGTCCAGAGAAAATAGATGCTAAAAAGTATATTGAATTGCTCGAAGCAGAGATTGAGGAACTCAACCGTCAAGTGGCTAGAAAGTCTGCAAATGAGCAGAACGAAATTCTGGAATATCTAAAATCACTTGAACCCCAAAATCTCAAGGCATGAGGAACATATGATATATATTCTCTTTCAGTCATCATATTCTAGAAAGGTTACCAATGCATCTTTAAAGTTGAATCCTTATGTCATTATGGTGTAGGAACTGACGAGCACAGCAGGAGAAGATGTCGCAGTGGCCATGGATGCATTCATCAAGCGGCTTCTGGCTGTATCAGACCCTAAGCAAATGAAGGTTCACTTTAAACAGCTTGCTTTCAGTCTACTTGATATTAGGGGTGGGAACAGGTCGGGTATCTGAGATTTTCGGGTTATCGGAACTCGAATTTGAATATTGCGGATCTCATGATATATTACCCGATTTCATCTCATAATGTGCAGATATCCGAAATTCGGGTTTTTTTTAGATTTGTTTACGCAGCAAAAAGCCGAATTATTTTGCATCTTCATATACGAATTTTTGACATCAATGTGTTTGGTAATTGCACAGATGAATGTGACAGAGACAAGTGCAACTGAACTGGCGAAACTGCTGTATTGGCTAATGGTTGTAGGATACAGCATTCGCAACATCGAAGTCCGGTTTGACATGGAGCGTGTCCTCGGAACTCCTCCCAAGCTCGCCGAGTTGCCTCCCGGCGAAATTGTCTGAACCAACTATTCATAGACCTGACTAAGATTTTGATGTGAAAGCTCTTCTCTCTTCTTAACCGGAATTGGAATTTATGGCCGTAGACAATAATATTTACATTTACAGCTTCAGCTTTGAGAGAGTCCTTAATATCAATATAAACCTTACCTTCAATTCATCCATGTGTAAGAAAAAGATAAGAGCTAGCTCTGCGGTAAAACTTGGATTTGGAGAGTTAGGTGGAGGTTGGCTTTAGCCTTCTCTAACGTCCAGAGGGTTCGGAAAGTAAAAACAGAGGAGAATCAGCAGTAGCTCTTGCTGTCATTGTACATGTAATATTATGTTACTGCATTTCAGCTTCTCACTTGGCTATGAAGAGGAAGTTATGTCAAAGACATGAGAGAAAATTGGACTCATTATCGCAAAAAAGTTTTGAAATGACAAAAAGGCCAAGACACCATTCAAAGAGCAACTTTGTATTGTTATAACTTTGAACCCAACTGCTTTTAAATATATATGACACATACAAGGTACTGCCTCTCACACCCTCCTATGGCGAAAACTGGAGGAACAAACCAAAACCAGTAAAGGAAAAAGAAAAGAATGGTACTTCTTCACCCCAAACACTGAGCCATCCTTTTGAGACCGAGAAAACAGAAGCAAACAGAGCCACGTTTTCTTTTTAATCTCAGGCGTCGAGGAGAGGGTACAAACGCTCGGGCCACTTGGGATACGTGCGCTTGTACAAGTTCATGCACACGGTATCATGCTGCTGGATGACGCTGTTGAATATACACTTCATTGCCCCTGCAACCACAAGACAAGGGTTTTGATTCACAAAGACGGCATTTTGGTGAAAAGGGGAGGAGGCTCTATAAGAGCAAGGCCGGTGATGTTCTTACCATGTGTGCCGACTGGTTCCTTGATGCGACCACGTTTTCCACATTTTGTCCATACTTCGACGGGCTGCACCAGAAACATCATCCAGTAGACGGAAGGTTAGCTCCGTTTTACAAATTTAACAAAATGAAAAACCGAGAATGTTACAGTTATGTGTTGGGCAAGTGTTTTTTTCATGTTTACCTTAAACCATCTAACATCTTCCGGATTGTGGAACATGTATCTGACAGATGCCTTCATTTTCGACACTTTCTGAGGGTAGCTGAAACAGGGCACAATACCGATAATGCGAGAATTGAATATCATTGGCGCAAATGGAATATGAATATAGTTAGAAAAGGATATCACAAAATGGTGGACGGGAACTATGATAAAACCATACCCAGTTAGTATTATCTTCTTCAAAATTATTTTGTTGGGGTCAACACTTTTTAGGGAGCCAACAGCAGCAACTGCTGGAGCGTCTGACCCTTCAGAAACCTTTAGGGCTACCAACGGAAGGGGTGGAAAAGATATCGGGCCATATATCGAAGCCATAGAGAAACGCCCGGCATGCAGAAATCTCTCCATCTTGTGCTTGTCCGAGTTGAAATTGTCAGTTGAAAATACCGGCCTGGATCATCAACCATAGTTTTATTATAGATTGAAAAAAAGCCCATCAGTAGCTACTGCTGCAAGGGAAACAGAAATTTATTACCTCGCAATGAATTGGCGGAAACCAACATGGAAGATGAGTTCTTCTTTTGTTTTGATGGGAGCATCGTAGCTGTCATGCTTCTTTATGCTGTGAAAAAGTAGACATTATCGGTGAGAAATCAGTCAATAACTCAGGGCTTTGAGGAACAGGAAATATAAATAGACAGATGATTTCGAGGATGTATACCTAAAATGAAGCACAGACATCTTGGATTCATGCTGCAGAAGCCCACATGCTATAATGGCACTTTTGCTTGCAAGCAAAGATAATCTAGAGGCAGCACCACGAGGTACTTCTTTAACAGAAAGCCTAATATATGAGCCAGTCAGTATGCAATCATCCCTGCTCTCTTCTTCCATCTCCAGGGCTTGCCTCATCACATGCTTCTGTGTTCTGGTGAGGTTATCAAAAGCAAAAATTCTGGCATAGTCTTGAGGCAGCGATTCCTGCATTTATCACTAAATGATTCACTAACAATCCTACGATTAAAAAAAAAATCAAAGTTCACGTCAAGAATCAGAAGACATTATTACATTTGGATCCCATGAGGAGGTTCTGAAGGACTTGACACCCCTGAACTTGGCAAATCGCTTTCTTGCAGGAATATCAAGTGGGGTCTCCACTTCATCTGGAAATTCTGTGGAAACATAACATCAAGATTTACTTCACTTGCTTTAGCTTTAATGAGAAAATGAAGGATGTCAAACATTGGACAAGGCCACCTTTTCTCCAACCAAACCTAGCAAACACATAATTCTAGAAGCTTGGTTTAAAAAAGCGCGAGGCGTCCCAAGGCGCCAAAGGTCTAAAAAACCGAGGCGCGAGGCGCAAGGCGAAGGCGCGCGCCTCACGGATGTGAGGCACATAAATCATTTTCGTATCAATATATAACATATATATTATAAATCATATTGTTTAATATGCATAGTATATATTTATACTTACGTATATATAAATAATTCTTTATTTTTTCAATATAATGTATATATTATAAATATAATTTCTATAGTATAGATTTATATGTATGTAATACACAAAAAAATGATTATATATTGCATTAATCTATATCAATATAAACTATATTATTATTTAAAAATAAAAAATATAAAATTAATCATAATCAACTAAAGTTGAAATACATCGAAAATGTTATAACTGATATATATTTATAAATGATTTTATAAAAACTATATATTTAAATAATTATAGTTAATATATATGTAAATTTTTGAAGCTTTCTACTTAGTCGTACTTGCTTTTAGGTTTTTTGAGTTTCTCGATTCCATCACCCTTTTTTATTTGTTCTCATGATTTGACCATTTTTTTTAATTTTTAATAACTCTGACTATACATTTAGGAGGAGTTAATTGTGTATTGAAGTCTGTACTGTTCATCTTCTACCATCTCTTTCGAAAGAACTGCACAACTCTGCCATTTTTATTTCTTTTTTGTACTCTGTCTCAAGCGGAGTCGCAGAAAAGCGTGCTTTACTGCCGCTTTATGGAAACCGCCTCAATTTTGTCACATGATGCGATTTTGCAATCGCTTCTGCGCATCTGCGCCTCAGGCGCAAAAAAAGCGCGCTTTTTTAATCCAAGTCTAGAAGAGCAAGTACATACCCTCATCTTCAGCATGGGCCTCTTTGATTTTCTTGATTTCATCCTCAATCTGTTCCCTAGTCAAATTTTCACTTTCCTGATTGCCAAAAGTTAAGATCAGAGTGAACTTCTCGGAGACATACAACAAATAGCAGACCATGAAACCTTTTTTTAAAGAAGGGAACTATATGATTTAGAGGAAAACAAACTTACCATCATCACAGAATCATTAACGGTTTCATTATCAACATCCCGCAAGTCCAACGATTCTTCATCGTCCTCAAAATCCCGGGTATTTGTATTTTCATGATAGGGAAAGTGATCCTCTCCCTCCTCCAAAACCATGCCGCTATCATTGTCATCACCAGTGTCAGAACCTTCCTCATCTGTGTCATCCACAATCCAAGCAGCCTGAGTAAGAAACAGAACGGAAACTAGTTAGAGATATTGCGCACGACTCTTAATACAGATAGTTAAGCCAAGGGCTGGAAAACTTCAGATATACAATAGCGTCTGAAAACCTGATATTCTGAAGTTCCCCGAGGTAAAGTCCTCTTCTTTAACTTCTTCTGTTTTAGATTTCTCTCAGCCTCGGCTATTTCTTCCTCTGTTGGCCAGGTCTACACAATGAAAGCACTAAGCAATAACTAATTTACCCTTATCAATTGCAGCAAATGCCAATTTTCTCCATTTAGAACTCATCAGACTTACCTGTTCTCCTGCAAGAGGATCTGGAATATTTTCAAATACTAAAGGTTCCTGTTTTGCAGGATCTGGAAGTAGAGAACTCACAACCTAGAAGATCAGAACACAAGGACATAGCTCAGGAAAAAAAATTACATAGAGAGGGAAACCATAGAAAATATTCCTGAAATCATCGCCAGCACAGACTTTTATTTTAATTTTTTTTTCAAATAATAAAAATAACACAGAAAGAGTCTTCTTATGTTCAATACACAAATCATGACCACTGGTTCCTACTCAGGTATTTAAGCCGATTGTAAGATCATAGATTTCACACACATCAAAATTCCGTATCACAAATGGCATTCTATAAATACCCTTTTGTACAAGTCAATTGTAAGTTTCTTACAAGGAAGACTATACATCACCTCTTCACGATGTAAATCATCACATTCCATGGAATCATGTCCTTTTCTGGCATGTAATGGGAATGGGTCATTCAGCACTTCAATTTTTGATAACTGAAAATCACCGAGGCCAGCAACATGAACCTAATTCAAAGAAAACAACTTAAGAGTTCAGGCATGGCAATCAAATAAACAAAGACAGCGAGAGCATAAGGCTGAACTACTTGATTACCAGCTGATTTACAGAGAGTTTGCGAGCACGCAAGTACCCACTGAGAACGAGAGTACATTTTCCCGTGCTTTCATCATCCACCAATGTCTCAACCTAATCCAGCAATCAACAACAAGAACATGGCACAAACACAAAATGCAGAATGTTTAAGTAAAGGAAGATGATAAATCACTTGAACCATTTTTTAAAAAGGTACAAAAAAGCTCTCTAGATCATTTCAAACAGTCAACCAAAGCTTTTATGATTTTTATGCATAAAACAAGTACCTTTTGAGCCACAAGATATGGCCTTTGACTTCGCCAATGAGGCACAGTAAGCCTTTGCTCCTTAAATAGCCACATGAACTGTAATCATATGCCAGCAAGTGGATCAACTTAACACAAAGTGCGAGATAAATGTAATTGAATACAATCCAAGAAAATGATGAGTATATTATGTTAGTCATTGGAAAATTACCTTGTGCAATTCATCTCTTGTATCTGCTGTATAAAACTTACAGTCTTCAGGAAATTCTGCGGCAAGGTTAGAGGTACACATCTTCTTTAGCTCGTTTTTCTTTTTCAGATCAGTGGGCATATCCTGCAACCATGAAAATAGAATTTGAAAAGCTCAACATTTCAGAAATCTCAACCTTCTCAGAATGATGGGTACTGAAAGTACAGTAGCAAAGAACTTACACGAATCAACACAGCGGTGCTTGGTAAACCAATCGATCTGATTACAGAAAGACAGTGACTTCCGAATGAGTCGATAAAGTCGGAGCAATCTTCTTCCCATGGAGTGCTTGCAGATGCAACAAAAGCGATCAAATCAGCAACCTAAAACCCAATAAAACATAAAAGAGTTGTAGACACTTGATAGACTCTACAGCAGTAAGCAAAAAAAAAAAGGCAGTAACTAATTTCATGCCTTGGCCAGTTCCATGCAAGTGAGCAGATCCCCATGAGGTGCCTTTAAAACCTGTGTGTATATTCAAACTATCAATCAAGCTTGAATTTAAATAGGCTCCAAAGAACACACAAACTTGAAATTGAACATCACTAACTGTTGCTCTTAGCCTATACTGGGAAGAAGCAACTGTTGAAGAAGCCACTCCAGCAGCTTCAGGAGATAACAATGCTAGAAGATCATTGGCAAGCGAATCAAGGTTCACCGAAGCAGAAAGAGGAAATAGGACCTACGGTTAAAAGAAGAAGAAAAAAAAATATTAGTTTATGAATCTGCATCCACAGGGAAAAAAAACAAACCCAAAATTTCTTAGGACCAGCTTCTGAATTTAAATGAGCAGCAAAAGAAAACTAACGATGACACGAGGAGGGCTTGATGACCCTCCTGAAGCTCTTTTCTCCTTCAAAAGTGCTGCCTTTTTCTGCTCTCGTAGCTGAATGCCGGAAAAATTTTCAAATTGATTATGCTCATCAATAATACAAAACAGAGTACTTCAATAATCAACCCATCAATTCAAATTAGGGACTAGAAGGAAAATCACCATCTTGCTACGCTGAACACGAGCAGCCTTAGCTCCCTTAACAAGATTCTTATCTGCCTTCGCATTCTTCGCCCTATCTGATACAGCAAAACGTTCGATTCCGCGAAATATCAGAATCAACAAAGTAATCCTAATTTCCTTGGTTTCCGTAGATCGAGCCAGAACCCAGAAACCAAAACCCTAATTATCTCCGAACAAAAGGGTGTCTAAATTCAATGAAGGAAACAGAACCCAACGATTCAAATCGTAAGTCGGCTCGAGAGAGAGAGAGAGAGAGATGAAAGAGAGTATTACCTTGTAGGGAGGTTCTGTGGAGATTGCGAGAAGATTTGGAAGAAAATCTAGTTTTGTGGGCTTTGTTAACCTGAACTCGAGAGCCTCCCATGGCTGCCGAAAGAGAAGAAAAGCCCTCGCGAGACGAATAGTGACGAATACCGCAGTTCGCCTTAAACCCTAATACGCTTTTCTTAAATTTCTTTTATAGCCTTGTTTGAAACTGAGATCGGCTCGGACTTCTAGTTGTATTAGATTTAGATAGAATTTTTATTTGCTTTTCATTTTTGTCCTAACTAATTCATATTACACTTACACGGAGAATTATTTTACGAAACAGAATAAAAAAATTAAATCAATGTCTTATAATAATAATTTATTAAGTTTATTTTTTATTGTTAAATTGATATCTATTTTATTTGAATTCCATGCCAATATAAATCTGAATTTATCCCATATAAAAATTGTTTGTCCTTGAGACAAAAAATTATCTATACTTCACAAAATATCTAATTTTTACTGACCACTCAAAAACAGGATGGATGAACCAAATCAATTACACTAAACCGGTACTAACCGAAATCAAACCGAAAAATATGAAGAAAAATGGTTAATACGACGCCACGTATATAATGTGCCACGTGGCAGGTCCCTCGGCTGATGTCTCTCACCGCTTGTCCATCCCAATTCGCATTCCCAATGGCATCTTCTCCCGCCCATTCGCGTTCACACTATCTCCGTAAACGTGTCGACCACTCATAGGACCACGTCACCATCTTCTATATACGGCCATTGTTGGGTTTTAGCGAAGGGCCGAAATGAATGGATAAGGAACCATAAGCCCATGACGTCCTCATTTATTCTTTTAATTATCAATATTATTCTTAATTTTCTTTTAGGCGTTTATTTCATTTTTCTTGGTCTACACGCCAATTATAAATACCCTCCCAAAATATTTCAGTATTGTCATTCCGTCTCGGAAAATCTCTGAATCTGCTGAGTCTCAGAGAGTTCTTCTCTTTGGCCATGGATCCCTACAAGGTAACCTTTTGTTTGCCCCTTCTCTTCGATTCTTCTTCTTTGTTGCATTGTTCTCGTATTGGTTTGGATTCAATGTTGTTCGTTTCGATTCTGCACCTTGTCATGAGAATCGTATTCTCCTTAGATGTTTGATTTTAAGTTCCTGCGGATATGGGATCCGGATTCGGGGTTCTATTATTTCATGATCGAATCGTGTTTTGGTTTTGTTCGTCGGAAATGAACCGAGCCCGTTTATGCGGATGATAATTGGTGTGTGTGGCGACCTGGGGGATTGCAGGAGGTTCTTGTTATTGTAGAGCCTGCGATTACGTGATATTGATCGGTTGAATCGTGTTGTTTCTTTGAATTCTTCACGGTTGTGATTTTGTTTTTATGGTGTTGGTCATGACGATGATGCAGTATCGGCCATCCAGCTCTCACAACTCCCCGTTCTTCACCACGAACTCCGGTGCTCCTGTATGGAACAACAACTCTTCCATGACCGTCGGACCCAGAGGTATATAGTTCTTCTGAATCTTTAGAACAAACGTGCGCTAGGAAAATGATAGGGGGTGATCCGTTAAATTTGAATATTCTTTTGCACCTGGGTAATAGTTTTTATTTTCCATGTAACAGTTGAGTAATGGTTGTGACGCCATTTCACTTTTTTCTTTGAAAGAACTGTTGCAGATTTTTGGGTAATCTCTGTCAAATGTATTGAGATGATGGAAAATTTTCATTTTCACTTTGTTGATTGTAATGGGTTTTTGGATTCATATATGCACTAAACACGTTTTCCTGTTTCTACTGCAGGTCCTATCCTTCTCGAGGACTATCATCTTGTTGAGAAGCTTGCCAATTTCGACAGGGAGCGGATTCCAGAGCGTGTGGTCCATGCTAGAGGAGCCAGTGCAAAGGGTTTCTTTGAGGTCACCCATGATATCTCTCATCTCACATGTGCCGACTTTCTCCGAGCTCCTGGTGTTCAGACACCAGTCATTGTGCGGTTCTCCACTGTTATCCACGAGCGTGGAAGCCCTGAGACCTTGAGAGATCCTCGTGGTTTCGCTGTTAAGTTTTACACCAGAGAGGTGAGTTGAAGTCAATACGGAATCACCGAGCATATGTTTTTATGTACTCACTCCAAAAGGAACATTTTGTTGCATCTGGTGATTTCATAGTATGCCAGATAAATGGATAGTGTCTCATAAGTAATATGCTTCACGTATATGTTATTTCGGCTTTTAACTTTTTTGCTTTATGTCATTCAGGGTAATTTTGATCTTGTTGGGAACAACTTCCCAGTCTTCTTCATCCGTGATGGAATGAAATTTCCTGACATGGTCCATGCCCTTAAGCCCAACCCCAAATCTCACATCCAGGAAAACTGGAGAGTCCTCGACTTCTTCTCCCACCACCCGGAGAGTCTGCACATGTTTACCTTCCTCTTCGATGATATCGGTATTCCTCAGGACTACAGGCACATGGAGGGCTCGGGTGTAAACACCTACATGTTGGTCAACAAGGCAGGGAAAGCTGTCTATGTCAAGTTTCACTGGAAACCCACATGTGGGGTTAAGTCTCTGCTCGAAGACGAGGCCATTCGGGTTGGAGGATCCAACCACAGCCATGCGACTCAGGACTTGTACGACTCAATCGCCGCGGGAAACTACCCTGAGTGGAAGCTTTTCATCCAAACAATCGATCCTGCTGATGAGGACAAGTTCGATTTCGACCCGGTTGATGTGACCAAGACCTGGCCTGAGGACATATTGCCTCTGCAACCTGTTGGACGCTTGGTTTTGAACAAGAACATCGACAACTTCTTCGCAGAGAATGAGCAATTGGCGTTTTGCCCCGCTATTGTTGTTCCGGGAGTATACTATTCGGATGACAAGCTGCTCCAAACTCGTATATTTTCCTACTCCGACACCCAGAGGCACCGTCTTGGACCAAACTACCTGCAACTTCCCGTCAATGCTCCCAAGTGCGCTCACCACAACAACCACCATGAGGGCTTCATGAACTTCATGCACCGGGATGAGGAGGTAACCATAGCTGAAACCCTAAGTTAGATGTTGTCTTTTTCCATTGCAGGGTTTGGTAAATCAGAGAAATCTGTTTCTTTTCAATAAAAAATACCATTAGCTTATGAAGAGATGTTGTTCAGGTGAATTACTTCCCGTCAAGGTATGATCCCGTTCGCCACGCGGAGAGGTATCCGATTCCACCCGTTATCTGCTCTGGAAGGCGCGAGAGGGTCAGTATAAATATCTACACAACCATCGAATCCAATTTTTTTTCGAGCGTTCTTTGCGGAAATGTTTACCTGATGCCGTTATGTACGTTTTTGCAGTGCATTATCGAGAAGGAGAATAACTTCAAGCAGCCGGGAGAGAGATACCGTTCTTTCACCCCAGACAGGTACTCTAAATCTTCTTTTTTAGTAGCAAAAAACCTCTTACCGCCATTTCAGACACAAACTCGCGAAATGATGCTGATGCTTCCGTCATGATATTACGACCAGGCAAGAACGATTCATTCGCAGATGGATAGAAGCCTTGTCCGACCCTCGTATCACTCACGAAATCCGCAGCATCTGGATCTCATACTGGTCTCAGGTTCTTACAATCTCTCTACCTCGACGCAACAACAAACAGTGTTGGATTTTTTTTTTAATTCAGGAAAATTTACGAAGTAACACCAAACTACTATTGTTGAAACGGTTGAACAGGCTGATCAGTCCTTGGGACAGAAGCTGGCGAGCCGTCTAAACGTGAGACCGAGCATCTGAAGTGTTCAGAGGAAATGGTCTCAGGGTTTGTAATTTGAAGAGAAGGTTTGAAAGGAGAGAAGAAGAAAACGAAGCAATCCTTTGGGGATGATCATATACTAATAATATTCATATATGAGGATGTTTATATGTGTTGTCTTGTTACTAGACAAAGGACAAAGGACAGAAAGAAGAAACCTTTGGTGATGTTACATTGTCTTATGCTGGCTTCTTATGTGGTGATGTTTTTCACACCTAATGCATGATTGGATTAAATAAATAAATTTGAAAATGACATGGCTGGTTTCTTTATAACTTATATGTGGACTTCGTCCTTGGCAATTTTATTTTTCATTTTTCTGAATATTCAGAAATAAAATTTTGAAAGATATAATATTTTTTTACATCTGCATGGATGTGAAGCATCTAAAGATATGAGACCAAAAGACAAGCAGTAGTGTCAGAAGAAAGAAACTTACAGTAACATAAGCTCTGGATCCTACAAACTAATGGTCGTGTCCAAATTCCGGTCTAGATAGCCGGTTCTCTTTAACCGGGTTTATGTTAAGTCAATTTAAACCGGTAATCAATAACATATCTACAGAGAGCGGTTGAAGTGTATGGAAGAAACGGGAAATTTCACTATGGCAAACCCTAAATCTACATGTCTGAGTATACAGTGTAGTTTCAAATGTACATCGAAGAACCACCGAAACTCTCAAAGCCGAATCCTTGAAACCCACAATCCAAATCTTCCAAACCCCCAAAGATGTCGATTTCATCTGTGTTTTCTTCACCCCGCGGGCCCGTTGCCGATTTCTCCGATCCGACATCTTCGTTCCGACCCTCGAAATCCTTTTCTGTTCTTCCTCCATGATCCATCACAAGACTCTGTCTTTCCTGAAATTGGACTAATTTGGCGTCAATTCGAGACAGCAGAACCCCAAGCTCGTCATGTGAGAGATTGTCCACCGTCCCATCAGAATCTGGGTAAGCCGGCGCGAGTCTCGGCTTCTTGCTGGCGCGATTAGCTTTGGTAGCCTCCGAGGACAAAAACCCATTCAAATCTACGGCGTGTTTCCGGCGGTCTTCTTCGCTCAGACCTCTGTAGTTCGCCGCGATCCGACGGACATCTTCGGGTCTCTCCGGCCAGTGATAGAGTTGGCCGTCGGAATCGTAGCAAATGACGCAGACGAAGATATCGCAAAGAACCGAGAGCTCTCTATCTTTGTTCTTCAGTGTCTGAACTCTCCTCTGGAAAGCTGCCTTTTGTGCCTTCGTCTGAAATTTGGGTTTCCCATGCGCCATTGTCGACCTTAAACGATGACCCATGTTTGCTTCCGACACGATCGATGAAGAGAATTCAGGACAAAACCTAGCGGAGAAGATCGATCGATTGAGAGAGAGAAAGAGAGAGAGAGAGAGAGAGAGAGAGAGAGAATGAAAAGGGGTGGACAGTTGTATTTTGGACTAGTTGGACTGGTTCGCCTAATTGACGAGTTATATACACTGTATGGAGGCTTCCCGGGCTCTCCCCAACGGTCAGATTTTGCTAGCTGTGGTTCCTTTCTTTCCTTTTATTTAAAAATTAATTTTCCTTCCCTTCAATTCATTTGATTTTTTTTTTTTAAATTCAAATGGAGTTATGTTTTAAACGCCCGTTAGGGCTCGGAACAGCAAAATCCAAACAAGATTTTTTTTTTTCCGTTGAGATGTCTGAAACTGCTTGGGACAAGCAATTGGATTTCATGGGTGTCCGTTTGAGGACCTCGACAACAGTCAGGTGTCGGAACATTGAGGGTGAAAAACACGTCCGAAAAATTCGCAGAGAAAAAAAAAAGAGAACTCGAAATCGAAACTTCGGCGCAAAGGGTTCGGTTATTCGAAAACCGAATGACCGATTAATATTCCAATCAAATTGAATCGATTAAAATTAAATAATATTTGATTATAAATTTTTTGAAATATGAGACAATCAAATCTGAATTAACCTTAGACCAAATAAACGAATCGTAACAAAATAAATCGAATATAACCGTTTATCCATCAAAATATATATAATTACAAAAATTAGCATAATGAGATTTATATAACAAAGTGATGTTTTTTTAAAAAATCTACAATGTTTCAAATTTTGTTTTATTTTCTATTATAATTGAACCAATTTTTGTTTGATAATTATTTTATTAGATATATTCGAATCAAATCAAATCGATTAAAATTAAATAATCATTTATTTATTTATTAATTTTTAAAATCTAAAATAAACGAATACGAATTACCGTAATCAAATAAACAAAATCAAATAATCATTTTTGTTCACGAAGTTTTAAAAGTTTCTTATAGAAACTCATATATAAATAACCCTTAGTCCGTTCTGTGCCTATTATTTTAATATATTAATATTCATTTTGTTTATGGTACGGTAGAGTAGGGTACGTATTTTCCCGTAAAACATGAGGCCCGACAGGACAGTCAGTTATTATTGGCCCATTTCCTTTGTCCTTGGCTCCGAACTCCTTTCTTCCTCATCTAAATTCGTTCTAGGGTTAGGGTTCATAGCAGAATTTCAATCTCCATTTGCTCTCTTTCTTTTTCCGAATCTGCCTTTTTTTTTCTCCTGAAATCGAAGATGTCGCCGATGATTCAGGGAGCGGCTGCTGTTACATTGTCCACTGCATCAGGTTTCATTCGCACGGACAGATGTATTCTCTACACAGTCTTACGCTGTTCCTCTGTTTCGTTTTGTCGGAGGTTGGCTTATTCTACTGATAGAGACTGCGGCCGTACGTACAGAGAAAGACTGAGGTGTGGGTTTGCTAATGTCGACGATGCTGTTGCTGTGTTCCATCTGATGGTTCGGTCTCCCCGCCGCCCTTCAGTTGTCGATTTCAGCATGTTACTGAGTGCAGTGGCCAGAATGAAACGGTACGATGTCGTGATTTCACTTTGCAAGAGAATGGATTTGATCGGGTTTCCACATAATCACTACACTCTGAGCATTCTGATCAACTGTTTCTGCCGTTCTGGACAAGTACACTTAGGTTTCTCGGTTTTGGGAAGGATCATGAAGTTGGGTTATGAGCCGAATGATGTCGCATTCAATACCCTCATCAATGGATTCTGCATCAGAGGTAACATTTCCGCAGCTTTAGGTTTAATGGAGCAAATGGTGGATGTGGGACAAAAACCTGATGTCGTAACGTTTACTACTATCATCAACGGACTTTGTCTCCAGCGTAGAATTCATGAAGCTGCCAGTTTGATCGATCGGATGGTAGAGAAAGGCTGTCAACCCGATATAATTACTTATGGTGCTATTATAAATGGCATTTGCAAGTTAGGGGATCCTGCTTCTGCTTTGAATTGGATCAAGATGATGGAGGGCAGGCTCATGATGGTCGATGTCGTAATTTATAGTACGTTTATCGATTGTCTCTGCAAATGTGGAAACATAGATGGTGCACTTAACATTTTTAGCAAGATGGATGATCGAGGAGTTGAACCAGATGTTATTACCTATACCACTTTGATAAACGGACTTTGTAGTTCCAGTAGATGGAATGATGCCTCGCGATTATTGAAGGATATGATAGAAAGGAAAATCATGCCGAATGTTGTTACTTTCACTGGATTAATCAATTATTTTATTAAAGAGAGCAAGTTTCTAGAGGCTGAGGAATTATATAAAAAGATGATCCAAAGAGGTTTGGTTCCAAATACCATCACTTATACTTCGTTGATTGATGGGTTTTGTATGCAGAATCGTCTTGATGAGGCGAGACAAATATTCGATTCTATGATTACCGAGGGATGTTTTCCAAATGTAGTGACATTTGGTGCTCTCATAAATGGGTATTGCAAATCTGGCAGAGTAGATGAAGGTATGAAGCTCTTAACCGATATGTCTCAAAGAGGATTGGTAGCAAATACATGTGTTTACAACACTCTCATCCAAGGGTTGTGTCGAGGAGGCAACCTTGATGCTGGCCAAAAACTTTTCCTAGAGATGAAATGTCTTGGTCCTCATCCTGATCTTATAACTTACAAAGTTATGCTTGATGGTCTATGTAAAAACGGAAAACTAGAAGAGGCATTGGAATTATATGATAAGATGGAAAAGAGTGGGTTGAACCTCGATATAGTTACACATAATATTATCATTCATGGCTTGTGCAAGGCTGAAAAAGTTGATGAGGCAATGCTGTTGTTTAATATGCTCTTGCTTGAAGGGGTGGAACCGGATGTTGTGACGTATAATATAATGATAACTGGACTTTGTGGAAAAGGTTCACTCGGTGAAGCCCAAAAGCTGGTAAGAGATATGAAAGAGGGTGGTTGTTTGCCGAATGATGGTACTTATAACGCAATCATCCGGGGTCATCTCAGACATGGCTCCACATCAGATGTTATTGAGCTGATACGAGAAATGCGAAGGTGTGAGTTTTCTGCTGGTGCGTCGACCATTACTATGGTGATAAATATGCTATCCGACGGTAGATTGGAGAAAGGGTTCCTGGATCTTCTCTCCTCCTAGTGCTTCTCGTTGTTTTCTGTCATGGAAACCACAAAGAGGTGACCTCTTCTGACCTTTCATGTTTTGATGTTTCTTCATTTCGTGATCGAATTAAATTTTTGTGAAGAGGATGGATCGGTTCGAGGCTAATTTTGAGCGTGTTAGTGATGGAGTTTAGTAATGTTTCGCATTTGTTAATCGGACAGGGGCCTAACGACTGGAACAGCTCTTGAGGATATAGGCACAGTTTCTTGTTTCTGCCGACAAATCCGATCAGAGGACTTAGTGTTCGAAGGGTAAGGCTTCCAAAATCTGTAACTCTTGAAAAAAATAAGGCTTCCTTCCAAAGGCATTTGTAGGTACTTACAGTTGTGAAAGATTTCCATTTTGTAGATATAAAATCATATGAACGTTATATATATAGAGAGAAAAATGCAATAAATTAAAATAGATATTGTTAACTTTTGAGAGGATCCTTTCCTTTCCTTTTCCTGTTACATTTTCAAAAGCGTAAGCAAACTAAGGAATTGGGCCTCATAGCCCAATTCGATTGGGCAATTGAACATAAAAGAGCCCAACCATTAAACGGGTCGGATCTTAACGGAGACAACAAACACCCGTTAACGGACGTTAGATCCGACGTGTTCAAGTCTCTTGATTTTGATTGGTCACAGATGACGTGTAACAAAACGGTGACGTGTTTTCACATTTTCGAAATATTTCTCCCCTCAAACCCAGACGGAAGAAGACAAAGCATGGCGAAGCCGCTGCTCTTCATCGCGGTGATTCTTGCGGTGTTCTCCGCCGGAGCTTCCGTCGATGACAAATGCGCTGCTTGTAATGCCGTCGCGGTACTTCTCGCATCTCTTTATCTTCTTATTTCGTTTCTGGGAAATTGATGCCCCCGAATTGGATTATCCGATGAACATTCATGCCGTGGATATGTAGACGGGACTGATATTGAGATTTATGTTATTGAATCTTGGTGGAGTGGATTCTGGTTAAAGTTTATGTAGACAGTCTCTAAAATAAATATATGTAGATGGATTTGCAGCCGGTGTTTGTTTGGTTAGTTAATTCGAGCTGATGACACTGTTCGAATCTCTGTGATTTTCTTACAAAGTAAGGATTATGTCATAATCTGTCGATTGGTTATGCTCGCTATTGGTTTCCACGGGTTTGTGCTGCTTATGCTTTCCAAATTTTGTAGGTTTTGATTTCACAAAATGGGGTTTCGATCTATAATGAAAATTGAGCTCTTTTATGTGGGAACCAAGTTTTCCGTTTGGATCAAGAAAGCCACTCTGAATTTGGTTTTATTTAATAATATGAATCCTTATATTGTTTCTTTTTTTGCGCTTGCGTTCTGGGAAAAGAGTGATACGGTCTTTAGGAATATTTTATGTTCGGCATCGGAAGATATCTATGAGCTAGATGATGGAAGTTGTGTTTTATTTTTCTTCTTGAAAATTTGTCCAATTTTGCTTGTATTTCATTCTATGGTTGGTAATACTCGTGTTTGGCTAAATGATTTAATACATTTTCTTGTTCTCATCACGATGTTCAATGCTATGCAGGAGGAATTGGAGTTTCAGCTTTCGAAGGTAGTAACATCTTTTTGATCTGTCATCCTAATAATACGATGTGTGCTTGGAATGCTAGAGTGCTTCTGGTTTAATGGGAAACTTTATATCATATCTTGATCAGGAAAAACCACGGAACCATCTTGATATGAGAAATCGATTAAATTCTAAGGGGCAACGAGAAGGAAAGGTTATTGATTACAGGTATATGCCTGATAGCCTCATTCTACTACCTGAATTGGGAAGGAAATCTTGTCGAATCATGACTGACTGTTCCTTGTTTTTATGTGCATGTCTGGTAATTTGTTTTATAACTTTGGCATGAGAAAGGATAGACAACTACTCGGTCTTCTTCCTTTTACTTGGGGACTTTCTCTCCAAAGTAAATTACGAATCGAAATGGACTTTAGGACGTTATTGGTAGCTAGGTAATCGTATATTCTTAGTCAGATATAAAACTTCCGAGCAAAGAGGAGGCTATCATTGAACAACTGGGAGGAAAGTCAACAATTGACATGCTACAAGAACCTGTAACGCATTTCTGTTCAAATTTTCCCAGAAGAGTCATGTTGATTTTTTTTCGTGTGATTCACTCAAGTGGATGATGACCCAATAATTCTGTTTCTTTTTTCCTTTTTTTTTTTAAAAAAAAAATAGAGCAAGTGATCTGAGGGTTGCTGATCTGTTGGATGGATTGTGCGAAAGAATGAAAGACTATACTCTAGAAAAGGTAAATTCCGCTCTTAAACAAACTCTCATCGCTTGCGCTTTGGTATCAACCATTTTGTAAATTTTTCTGTAAAACCAGGCAAGGTTCCACGATGTGGTTGCTCCTTTTTCACCATTGTAATATGTACTTATGGTCATACTTTTGCAGGTGGATTCGACAAAAGGATTATGGGTCAAAGTGGATAGCTTTGACGATCTTACAAGTAATATTTTCTTCTGTTGGGATCTTCTGGAGTTCATATATGCTTTACCTGTCTCATAAGTCATAGTATATTTGCTTATGATAATATTTGTTGACTAGTTCTATGTATTGTCTTCATAAAGCATATTCTGGTAATTTCTCTTCATCCGATCCAAGATTTTTTATTTTTATTTATAGCATATCTATTTTGGTCAGTTGGAACAAATATTCTTCTTGGGGACTGCTGCCTACTTCGTTTATTCAACATTTCTCGTTTATTCTCAGCTTTGAGTAGCAATCGAGAGGTGTGAGAATGCTCTAGTGATGGGAACAAAGTATGCAAACTGTGGAAATTTTTACCATGTTTAATGATAACTGTTCTCAGAATGGTTTGATATTGATCTCCCATGTTACAGATAAACAGGAAGCTAAAGCGCATGCAAATGACATCTCAACTTACTGCGGAAGGTATAATACAAAACCAAGAATCTGAACGGTCGATTTATCACTGATCATTTGGAGAATTTTTCTATGTTTCTGGTACTTGTCAACAGCCTCGGGATTTCTGAAAACTTCTTCTGTTTTGTTTGGCACAGGTTGCTCGAGGAGACTGAAGACGAGGTAAACTTCTGCTACTATACTTCAAAAGACTTATTATCATCAATGGTTAGTTAGATTATTACCAAGTATCGTTAATTTTTAATCGATATTTTTCAGCTCTCTGAGGTAATTAAGGAAGGATCCTTGAAAGTCGGAGGAGTCAGCAACGTCCTGTGTCGAATGCTGAGCAATCACTGCAAGCAAACAAGGTAAGCCCTTAGAAGCGAACCACGTAATAAAGAAGTATCCATATGCGGGTGAATTTAACGTCTACTCGGAGCCTATCTGTGATCACATGTTGTTTCAGTTCATTTATATTCGGGTTTGGGTTTTTCGTTTTTGCAAAAGTTATATCCATCCGGTCTTTATACTAGATTCATTTCGGATTCGGTTTTTTATCGAAAAAACTGTTCATTTTTACAAAGAAATTTTTCGGCTTTGGTTTTTCGGTTTTAGAAAAATCACACCGGATATGAAAATGGTTTAGAATTATTTTACTAAACGCTCTCATCTTTCTTCCAATTTATGCTTCTTTGGTGCAGCGAAAGAGAGACAGAAGAAGACGAGGATGACGATGATGGGGACGAGCTTTGAGTCATCAAATACGAGCCGGGGAACGAATGATGATAACACTCTGTTAGTGCCACAAACTCATCAAAACGCAGATCCAAAGTTCTTTCTTGTGTTAGAGTTTTTGCTCACAGATCGACATTTCTAGGGTTCAAACTAATGAGCTCCATTTCTCGAACTCTTCCGA